TTTTTTTTTTCCCTTTTCATCAACAAAACGAGCGAATAACTGTCCCTGGTGAGTGAATCCTTGGTTGGTTGGCTCTTTTCGATGTCGATTTCTCGACTTCTTCTTCTTCTGTTCGGCCTGCCAGATAAGCTTGGTACTGCGGGTAATCTTATTCTAGTTTGGACCGTGTGACGAAGCAAGCAGGTGAGGTGGTGAAGCTAGACTCGGTTGTCGAGTAACAAAGGGCCAATCCCCCGGGCCCTCAGGAGAGAAGAGTACCAGTAGCTGAGTTGGATGTGGGTGTGCGTACGATCACATCATCACGCTCGTTCGGAATTGTCATGTTGGACTTAACTGGGCTGGTTGGTTTGGAATTATGTGGAATCTGTCAAATATACTTGGTTCTTTATATTATGTGATTGGTGCGGCACATTTGGTAGTTACCTGGTTGCTGCTGTCTTTGTTTATGGATGGCATAGTGATGTACCATAGAGAGAATGACATATTTTTCTTCCCGTTTCATCACTTCCCTTTACTATTTCTTACGCACCTCTAATAGCTTTATGCTTCATCATATAGACCTAGATTTTCCCATCCCAGGTACAACACCCCATCGACCGCCTTCCGAATCTTCTGCTTTGTCTCCTGGTTGGTTTCCGGATACGGCTTCCTCGGCCTAAACAACTCCATACCCTTCGTACCGTCCTTCACCGAAAAAGATGGCCCATCTCGCCCATCTCCGTTCAAAATTCCTGCCCTCCACCCCGTATACAAGCTAGCAGCATATTTGACAGCCGCAATCCCATCAGCCTTCAGATGTTCCTCTGCCAGAGCCAGAAGCCCACTCCTGAATATTGCTTGGCCCCTCTTCACCTTATCATTCTCCTCATCCCACTGCACCCATTTGTTATACACACCCACCAATGCCCGAGGAAACACATTCCCAAAAGCCGCTATACATCCGCTCGAGCCCACCGCCAGCCCGCCAATCAAGAAATCACTCTGGCCGCCGAAAATCGCAAACTCCTTCTTCTCGGGCTCAAAGTCGCTCGCCAACCTCGTAATCTTCGCCACGCTCCCGCACGTCAACTTGCATCCCACAATCTTGCCCTTGTGTCGCTTCGCCAGCCTCGTAATGAGCGTACTGCTGAGATCAATCCCACCACATACCGCTGGGAAATTATATATCAGCACAGGCAATCTGGAGTAGGTCGCAACCTCATCAAAGAAGTCCTCCACCATCTGCTCCCCTCCCCTAAGGCCCTTAGGTCCAAAGTAACCCGGCGGCAACACAAGCACGTAGTCGGCTCCGGCCTTGACGGCGTCGTCAATATACTCCTTCACCTGCGCATTGCTGTGGCCCGACACGCCTGCCATGATGGGAAACCCCTTAGGAACAGTCCTGCACGCGCAGCGGAGCAGTTCGTAACGTTCTTCCCGAGTGAGCAGGAAGGTCTCGGCGTTGGTACCGAGGATTAAGAGACCGGCAAGGCCAACTTCAGGGGAGGAGAGGTAGCGGAAGTACTTGGCTTGGGATTCCAGGTCGAGAGTATCATGTTGGGGGTTGAAGAGGGTTATGGCGGGGACCCAGATGCCGGCGGCTGGGACTGTGGGGACCATTTTTGCTGCAAGTTGTATGTGTCTGATTGATGGAGTGAATGTCTTCGGCCGGCCCAGGTGAGTCGATTGCCTTGGGTTATTGTTATTGTTGGTGGTGTGGTCGTTGTGAGTTCTTTCGTCCAGGTAGGTTGACTCAATGGTTGATGAGTTCGACCGTATGAACCAGCTCAAGAATGAGAAGCCAAAATGAAGAGAGTCAAGGCTCAGGTGTCACGGCGTAGAACGACTGAAATAATGAGTGCTAGGTAGTTTCCGAGTTCGACAAGGCATATCAAGAAAAAGAAAGAGTGGTGTTGACGTGGTTGACGGCGCGGTGCGGGGGTAGCATTCGGCCGACACCCGACGGGAGGGGAAACTGTACATCATCCAATCGGCCGGGGGATCGGATTTTTTGAACCGGAAAAGCCGAGAAGCTGCAATGATGGTCTAAGTGTTTGCAGCAGATGTGTTGACCAAAAGCCGTGGTAATGTGTTTGAATTTGTAACGGAAAGGAAACTGAGTGAGTGGAAAGGGCGACAAAGGCCTGGCGGATCTTGGTTTACAAGTACATAATCACTCCCGTCTCTCGTCTTCAACCAGACCGCCCAATCAGCCACCGCACGCAACCGCGTGTCAGATGGCTTCGTTCCTTTTTTAATAGTCGTGAGCTCCTTCCATTCTGTATCAGCCATCGTTGCCCTGTGATGGCTTCCTTCCACCGTACTATAGAATGTCCTTTCCGCTATGAAACCTTAGTATTCCCTTAAGGTTCCTTCCAAAATGGGATGTGACAAGCAGGAATCAAGTGCATACACTTAGGTGTGAGTTGGAGATACCCGCCTTTCGGTCGAGTGATGTATCAATAAGTCTATCACCGACCTCACTATCGTGAGGATAGTTTCCATCACCGGTGGCATCCTCATTCGCCACTTGCATTTCAAGCCCAAGGATAGACAGGTACTTTGCTTTTCAAGTAAATCCAATTTCCTACTCCTACTCCTTATTCAGTTCCTACAACATATACAAAGAAAGAAGGTGAAGAATCATAAACCAACAGTGAAAGTACCTGACATCAGCTCTGCGCACCGTGACTGTCTGCCTAGTCTTGATGGGTGTGGGTGTGTTTGTGTGCAAATTAAAAAGAATTATTAGTCTGTAGATAAAACGTTGTAAAGCCGTTATAAACCCCACCCTCCCTGCTGTTCAAGCCAAAAAGTACAAAGAAAAGCAAGCCGCAACTCTCTCTCTCTACTGCTTCCCGTCTGCTGCTGCTGCTGCTGCTGCCATGCCACGCAAAAAATAAGGAGGATTCGCGAAAAGACAGAAATCAGACATGAGTGTGTAGTGACGACCCCAAACCGTAATGTGAGAAAAACGACCGACCGACCAGACCAAATTACCAGTCCAAAGTATGTGTGAGTGTGTAAGCGAGAGTGCTGTGCGCGCAGGTACATGAATCAAAAACAACCCTACAAACACAAAATCCTGTTTCCTTTTTCCCCCAGTCCCTTTTCTTTCTTGTTTTGTTGTTTTGCGAGAGTATAGGAGTCCGGTCTCAGACCTAAGACCCTTTCTCTCAAGACTGAGCGAGACAGTTAAGGGGAAAGTTCAGGTAGGCATAGGTGACTCCCCAACGCAGAACGCCCATACTGTCAAATCATCAAAAAGCATATTTTGCTCGCCCTCGCACAACCAACCGCCTGCTTCCTATGCTGTCGTCATCCCATGCCAGCAAACCTTACAGTATAATCCAACAAACGTCAATCCAATCGGTCCCTCATAGTCGGAGCTCCCGGACAATCTTCTCCGCCAAGGCCTTGTACTGCCAAGTGTTTCCGGCAAGCCTCTTGAACTGGACACCGTGCAGACTGACGATCGGGACCTTGACGATCAAGATCTCAAACTCGATATCGTTGCCGCCTTCGGTCATCACTGTCGGTTGACGTTCAGCGTGGTTGATGCTGGGGGTATGCAGACAGCTGAAACCACCCTTGATCTCAGTAAAGTCCACGCCAAGCACCCGCAACACTCGCTTGATATCCCCCCGTATTTCAGGAAGAGGTCTTGTCGAGGTTGTAGATACGCTGAAGATACCCTTGAGGAATACGGGTTTGGCCAGATCGGGGTCTTCGGGCTCTAGCCTCTCGTTGGAACCGCCCGAGGTCTCGCCTCTTGGGTCGCTGTCCACCAGCTCAGCGTCTGTCTCTTCGCGGACAGAGTGGTGATGGCTCTGGTAGCTTCTTTGAGGCTCTGTAGTTTGTGGTTGAGTTTGCTGAGCGGCGGCCTCAGCCTCACGCTTGGCTCGTCGCATCTGGATAGACTCCCTACGAGCGTGACCGAGCGACTTGGCGCGCATGGACATAGAACCCCGGAGAGGTGGCTTGCCGTCCGTCGAATTAGCTGTCGCTGGAGACTCCTTTCGCCTGTCACGGGTGCTAAGTCTGCGGAGGATCCCGGCGGCCGTGCTTTCCTTCTTGGCGGGAACCATATCGGGCGAGAGTAGACCACTCTTGATGGGCTCCCTAGGTTGATCCTCGCTGTGTGACCTGGTCCTTTGTCGGCTCCGGGGCTCGGCATTGTGAACGGGTTGTGGCGGTACGATATCGGCGAGAGAGTGTTTCTCCTTTGGTCGGACGACGGGAGAAGGAGGTACTGGCACCTGTGTCTGTGATGACGAAAGTGGCTGCTGAGCCTTGGATGGTTGCTGCAAGTCAACGTGGACGTGGTTGCGCTCGCGCTCGAGCTTTTCGCGAACAAGGTAGTAGATGGAAATAAGAGGGTCGAAAGCGTTGAGAGGATCATCGCCAAGGGGAAGACCCTCTGAGCTGGTGGCAGTCAGTGTGTCCTTGCTCGTCACAGAATTCCTCCTCTTGTAGAAATCGAAGCCAAAGCCACGCTTCTTCTCCGCATCCTTCGGGATCGGCTCCGGTCGTTCTCTCTCCTTCTCGAGGCGGCGAACGGCGGCCTGGTACTTGGGCGACTTGATTCTCTTAGTCAACTCTGCTGTAATGTACTCTGGAGGGCCGAACTTGAAACCGGTCATCTGCGAAATGACTTCGGGGTCGAGGGGAAGCGTCAGGGGCTCGCGGCGCGGCAGGTAGTTATCGGGGGGTCCGTTGTAACCCTTGAGCATCCAAGGATGGTTCATGACCTCATGCATGGTGGCTCGCTGTTTGGGGTCAGTCACCAACATGCGCGAGATGAGGTGCTTGCATTCTGCAGACGGTCGAGTTAGCATGATTTTCAGTGAAGCCGGAGATTCAGCGTAGGAACATACCCGAAGAAAGCCAGTTGGGATAGTCAACTGCACCCTTCTTGATCTTTTGGTGGAGAGCGGGCATGTACTGGTCGTCAAACGGAACCTTGCCGCACACCAACACAAACAAAACGACGCCAAAGCTCCATACGTCAACCTCGGGACCGGTATATGGCCTTGCCTGCAAAAGCTCAGGAGCGGCAAAGTAGAGACTGCCGCAGTATGTCTTGAGTTTCCTATCCTCCTCTGGGGAGAAGAGGTTGCTGAGACCGAAATCGATAATTTTGATGTCACCAGTCTTGCTGATCAGGATGTTCTCGATCTTCAAGTCGCGATGCACAATGCTGTTGCGATGGCAATAGTCGACGGCACTGGCTATTTGGCGGGCGAACTTGCGGGCCTGTTTCTCCTTGAGCTTACCGTGGGAAATGATGTAGTCCAGCATTTGGCCGCCATTAACGTATTCAAAAAGCATGTACCAATGCCACCTTGTTCGCAAGTTGTCGCGGAGTCCGCAGATGTACTGATGGTTCAGGAGGCTGACGATAGCCGCCTCGCGGGCGTTGCGGTCTTCCCTAGCGGCATCGGCCTTTTCACGCTCTTCCCTCGACTGTCGGCCATCGTCGGGCGATACTCTTTCGATGATCTTGCAGGCGACCTAAACAGAGAAACAAACAGAGGTAAGAGTTAGCTAAAGAAACGGAACAATCGGGATGTCGCATTTGATGGGTGAACTTGCCAATTCGTTGGTACCCTCCTTTTTCGCCAGCTTGACCTTGCCCATGCTACCCTGACCAATTGTTTTGATGAAGGCATAGTTGCCGGATGGGGCGGGGATCACGGTGCGGTATCGTTGCTTGGTAGTGCCAGTGGCACTGCGGTGTGTCGAGGTGCCGGCGTCGGCGCCATTGCGGTGGTCGTCCCCGGCGCTGGCGTGGCCGTGAGGGGCGGCAGCGGCAGCGGCAGCGGACATGTCGGGCTGCTGGTGGTGATGTCCGTGCTGTTGTGAAGGATGCTGGTGGTGTCTCGACGATGTGGCCGTGGTGGTGGTAGCTGCTGCTGCTGCTGCGGTTGCTCCTGAGGCAGATCGCTGACTGGTCCGGCGGTGGGGACGCGAGGGTTCAGCTCTGCTGGTTGATTCGGACCGCGGCAGTGGTGGCTCTGGTCGTGATGTGGTAGGGGGACGCCGAGTCCGAACAGACTGTGACCGGATGGGGGAGTTCGGCGGCGGCGCCAGAGGAGAGTGTCGTCGCCATGGGGGGTGGAGACGCGTGTGGTGGTACTGCGGTACTCTTTTGGGGGTGTAGCAAAGGGGATTTCCCAGGGTGATGGAGCCGGGTTGGCGGTAGGGCGGTCGGAGTCCTGATCCCTAGACTAGTCGCAGCCGGGGGAGGACACTGCCAGTAGTAGAGGACGGGGGTCTTTTGGTCTGGGGGCGTTCTGGTCGAATCTCAATCGGCGAAGCCAATGGTCGACTATAGGCGAGTGTAGAGATGACTACCTGGATACGGCTTGATCGATTACGAGAGCAATATGTCGTGGTATTGTCCGGACTGGCCTCGTGGTGCAAGTCGCAAGATTACAAGTCGGGCGCGGGAGCCTAATTCAGGACCTAATCCAGGGCTCAGGTACAAAGCGAAATGGGCGTAATGGGGAATCTGGTCTCGAGCGATCCACGCAAATTCGGTTGCGGGAGGAGAAGCAGTGGAGAGTGGGAGTAGCACTAGATGATAATGCAAACGAGGGAGTGAAATGCTGTGTACTGTCCAATGCCGACGATCCAGAGTTTTGCGGGTGGTGGTTGTGCAGGGCAGTGTTGTAAGTTGAGATGAAGCAGTAATGCGGTGCAAATTGTTGGAGTTGTGAGTGTGGAAGTGCAGTCCGCGCAGTCCAGGTCAGGTCCGGCGGAGAGCAGGAAGACGAGCGGGAGCGGGAGCTTTGGTCGCTGTAAGGGTCAGTCGAGGAGAGTTGGGAGAGAATGCCCGTGCTTCGATTGGATTGATTTTAGAGCTGGTTCGCAACCTTGGCAGACGGGATGTGTCAAACCGAAAGACGGCGTTCCCGACGACAGCAGCAACTCTTGTGACGGGGTGAGCGAGCTGCGAGGGAAATTGTAAGAGGTTGTCTACCTAGAGAGGTGTTGTTGACAAAGAGTCAAATGGTCCGAAAGGGTTGATAATTGTCCGGTCTCGTGTGGCTTGTTGCCAGTGTTGTCCGAGTCGGGATGGCGGAAGCAAGGTAGTGGAGACAGGAAGCAAGCACAGTGAAGGGGATGGAGAGGCTTTGGAGGTGGGCCCGCTGCGTCGGCCACTGACAAAGAATTGGTGGTTGGGTTTTGCAGTGGTGAAACGGGGCCGCCCTGAGCAAGGGACTTGGGGTGGGTCTACGTCTTTAGTATTAACACTCAAGGTACTTCTGCCTCTCAACTGTTAACATGTGGGAATATCTCTCCGCCTTCAACCGTCACCGCCAGGTCGACCGCTTTTGACAAAGATATCAAGCCAGATATAAAAACAAAGATCTCTGATTATTTAACACGATCTCATGCATCCCTAAGAACCAGGTTGGTGGATATGATTCACTGGTCAGGTCAGTTCCCGGTTTCCGGGGTTGAATGATGAGGTTACCTTGAATAAGAGCGCGCTTAACATCATAAATGACACTATACCAAACGCTAAACATCAACCTCTTCTGAGTGAGCTCCTCCACAACCTGAACTCCGCGGAGACATTGTAGATGAGGCACAGTAAGGGACAGGCGAGGCCATTATAACGGGCTATTTCCAGTCTCAAAGTGGATGTTACTTGCGATCCTCTCGTGTTCAATATGGTCTCGTCGTTCTTCTGGCCATTGCCTCGAACGGTCTTCGTTTTTCTCCTGGCCTGGACCCAGTGTCAATTCCTTGGGGACCACCGAGGCACCACCAAAGGGACCACCAAGAACCACCAAGGCAATCCGGCATCTCATTTGTGAAATTCAGTCACGATGAAGAAAAAGGACAAGGAAGGCCAGGACACTTGAGGAGGACCGTGCATTATTGAACCCACAAATGGGCACGGTTGTCGTTCGTCATCATCCTTTCTTGGCCGGCGTCCGCATCCATCCTTCCGCCACAACATGTTCCCCTCAAAGAGCCCCTGAAGCCATTCCGATATCGTGACATGTGAGCCGGATATTGACTTGGTATAGGTAACCATACTTATAGGTGGCCTACTTGCTATTCATTCCCTACCGATGTGAAGCTTAATAGTTATCGAAATTGACCGCTCTTCACCATTCAATCAACAATTCCAGGATGGGATAGCAGACGGCATGTCTCCTCATCGTCTCTCAGCTCTGGATCAGGATTCGTTGCTGGCGTGGTGAGGAGTTTGACGACCTGCCCTCCGCCGCGGAGCTCTTGATTCGTTCTGGACCAAGGCCCGGTCCTAGACTCCAATGCCACGTCTACAGCACCCGGAAAAGCCCCGGAGAGCTTCGAGAAGGATGCATTTTCTGGATCTGACCTGACTGGCCAGAAGCTGGGGTTCAGAGACGGACAGCTTCAGACTGGTGCCAGCAACTCAGGAGATAATGCTTGTCCCCGGAATAACCTCCTTCAGCTCGCATGGGAACTGTCAGAGACTCAGAGTGATACATCTTGAAAAGGGAAGCTTTCTGTGCCACACCGCAGCCGTGCCTCAGGCCTACGACTTGCGGGGAAGCTTCACCCAATAGCAGCATTGATACGGTGAGGGTTTGGAGTGTAAGGCAACCTTATCACCAGACTCTTTTCAGGGAAGTCGAGCTGAGCTGAGCCGACAATGGACGGGATGGTTAAGTGATGTGCAGCTTTCTTCTTTTGACGCTCACTGCTCTAGCGGTGCCCATCACCCCAATGAGCAAAGGAGGCCGGTGTTGTACAGCATGAGGCAGCCGTTTTTACGGGAGACAGTTGAAAGCATGTAATCACTCCTTTGGACATTTCGCGATATCCACGCAAGAAGAGCTGAAACGTTACAAAGAATTCCTGGGTACCTATCAATAATCAAACAAAATCCGTGTAAAAAAAGACCGAAATATCAAGGATCTACCAACAATAACGTACCGGATATTGCCCGCTGAAATGATATCATGCTGCGGATCAAAGCGATATATTTCCAAGACAGGAACTTGATCACCTCCAGGTTGTTGGGTTACAGTTATCAAATCACATGCGGGGTTTCCCAACCTTTGTCGTCTTCAACAGCTTTGAGATTTTGAGGCTCCAATATGAGGCGCCAAAGGCATTCGTCATCTTCATCAGCCGTGTTTGTCCAGAAGAGACTGAAATCTTACCGGCTTGTTTCATGATGCCGAGCAAACAAACTGGGCTGCATTCCGCGGGCCGAGAGATGATGCACTTGCCAATTCCACTTTCTGCCGTCTGAAAGCTCTCGGCGCCAGCGGACGGACGCCCGGATCCAGGGCGTCGGGAAAGAGGTTCCACGGTCTGATTCACGGGTCCTGATATCGAAAGTGACTCTGCGGCTCATGATGGCGTATGCTTTCCAGCTGCTTCGGATGCTTCCATTGTCATTATGTTTCAACTTGGACTGATATGTCTTGCCTCTTTCAATCTTTCTGGTCTCAACGGTCTTCTAAGTTTCAGGGCACTTTCCCCAGGGACAGCCCCTGTCGTCGAGCGCCGTCCCCGCATCGGCAGCGGCAGAATGACCCCGCTCCGTTCTAGAACTGGTACCGCCTTCCCTTTTGACCGCTGACATGCCTGCCCCTGCCAGCTGCTGGCCAAGAAGCTCCGGAGCAAGAAGGCTGAACACAGCGGCCTAAATTTAGCGACTGTCGCGTTCCATCACGAACCACACCCACACCTTTCCAGCTTGCATGTGCCTTGTTGGAGAGCTAGCTTGTGCTGATCTTCAGCCTCGAATTCCACATTCCACTTTGTCAACAAACAATATTGTCACCACTTTCGGCCACACGTTCTCTCCATGTCCTACAAGAGGTCACGCGCAACTTTCGAGGCCGATCTTACTGCTCAACAATCACCCTACGTTTTCTTCGGCACACCTCTTCCGCCCCGCGACCCCGAAGTTCGCGACGATGGCTCATACGTACCGATATGGAAGCAGGAGGTGAGGGATGAGAGAGGGAGGAAACGACTACACGGCGCATTCACAGGAGGCTTCAGTGCAGGGTGAGTAAAGCTCGTGAGAAAACCGCTCTCGCTTTTGCTAACGAGTAATCTCTGCTAGCTACTTCAACACCGTCGGCTCCAAAGAAGGATGGACACCCTCGAGATTTGTCTCGTCACGCACGAACCGTCACAAAGATGCCGCGAAACCAGCCCAGCAACGGCCGGAGGACTTCATGGATGAGGAGGATCTTGCCGACGCCGAAGAATCCAAGAAAATCCAGACGAATGCCGCCTTCGCCGGGCTAGGCTCGACCGCGAACGATGCCACACGAGCGAGCGGCCTTATGGGCCTCTTTCGCACCCAGGGCGAAACTATGGGTGTGAAACTACTCAAGAAGATGGGCTGGAGGGAAGGGCAAGGCATTGGCCCCAAGGTGCGAAGGAAAGCGCGACTTGAGCTACAGAACGATGCGACTGCCCAAGGGGAAACTTTTCTTTTTGCGCCGGAAAACGTACCCATGATTGCGTTTGTCAAGAAGACGGATAAGAAGGGGCTGGGATACGCGGGAGAGAGCAGACTGACGCCGATCGGCCTGTCGGGGTCAAAGAAAAGCAGTCACGGTGACACGGACGATGAAGACGAAGACGACTATGGCACATTAGGACGACCGAAACTCACAATAGGCGGGGCCCGGAAAAAGGAAACCAGCAAGGTTCGAGGAGGTATAGGGATAGGTATCCTGAACGATACCGGTTCAGACGACGAAGATCCATACGAAGTCGGCCCCAAAATATCCTACAACAGAGTAATAGGCGGAGACAAGAAGAAAAAGAAGGCCACGATAGCGGCGAATCCGACGTTACAAGCAAAACCAAAGTTCATCACCAAGAAAGCAGCATCATCGATATTAGGTAAAGTAGGCTTAGGAGTCCGCAAGTGCCACGACGGGCGCCTGCCCCTAGACGGCTTCGTCTTCGGCAAGGAAGCCGACGCCCTCACAACCGAAATCAACTGCGAAGGAAAATACCCACCTCCCCAGATCCCTCCAGGGTGGGTATCATCCAAGACGCCCAGAACGGAACCCGGCGGCGGGTCTCCAGGAAATGCAAACTACCTCTCAACGGCCGACGTAGCCAAAGCCTCAACCCTCGACCCTAAAGCCCGCGCTGCCCTCCTCGGCGAGAAACAGCTCCCCGGAAAATCCGTCTTTGACTTCATCTCCCCCGCCTCTCGCGACCGTATCGTCACCGTTACAGGCCGCGCCGACCTACCCCAAGCTCTGGGCGAAGTTCCCGCCGCCTACGCCCGCAGCGAAGCTGAAAAGCAGCAAGAACTGCTCGACCGCATCCCTAAACTCGACAAGGAAACTGCCATAGCCGCCATTTCGCGCGGCGTAGGCGGTGGTGCGCCCTACTCTGAAGACGAAGAGAAACGCGCTCGGTACAGAGGTTACCTGGAGTTCCAAGCGGGCTTTCGACCGCAGTTACCGTCGAAACCGAAGAAGTTGACGGACGAGGAGTGGCTAAGGGAGTTTCACGAGTTCTTCAATTGTGCAAGGATCTTTAAGCCTATGACTGGGTTTATGGCTAGTCGGTTTACCACAAGTTCGTCAACCAAAGCTGCTACGTTAAATACTGGGGAAGCTAAGGACCTGATGAGCAAGCCGCCGCCAAAACCGGAAGACCCAGCTGAAGAGGCAGCAAGGCTGGGTATGTTTGGCACCATGACCAGGTCTACGACGGACTTTTATCCTACGAGGCTGTTGTGTAAGCGCTTTGGAGTCAAGCCGCCGGCACATGTCTTGCCTGATAATTACGATGCGACTACTAGTAGTGAGAAGAAGAAAGATGATGTGTGGTCACAATTTCAGTCGTATGGGTATCAAGGCGGTGGTGGACCTGGTTCTATGGAGAGGGAGTTGTTGGGTTTGGAATTTGGGAGCACTGGTGGCGGTGGAGGAGGAGGAGGAGGAGGAGCAGAAGGAGGGAGTACAGCCATGGCTGATCTTGAAAGAGGAGGACAAACAGAGAAACCTGCGGCTGCGCCTGTTCTTGATACGTCGAGGAATGAGGCGTTGGAAGGGAAGAGGCCGGGTGATGAAGTTTTCAAGGCCATTTTTGGGGATAGTGATGATGAGTAATCGAGTCTTGCGAAAGTCTTGAGGAAGAGGACCTTGATGGCTTTTATGTGTGTACCCTGATGGCTAGCATAGTCAGGGGCAGGGTTAGGGTTAGGCATCCTCCGATATGTCATCGACATACTGTGGTTGCGAGCAAAAGTAAAACCCCCTTGTCGGGTATCGTGCACGAACAGGTACAAGCAAAGCTTCCTGTCTCTGTATGGCCACTCGAGGGCCAGAGATCATCAACGACCTGCTCCACGGGTTTTACTTACCCATATCACCACAGTACACTGTATGAAGAGCCGTCAAACTCCAAAAACTCGACATCATCAGCCAATCCAGATGTCAAACCTATGAAGCTTTTCCAACAGCCTCGCTCTCCTCAAATTGCTATTACTGTATGCACGAGACAGCGACAATCCCCCAACCGTGATGTTGGCTTGTTGACATGATGATTGGTCCGTAGACGGGCGGCTACAGAAAGAACAAGAGTAACAAGCGAGAGAGAATGGAAGCAGGGACTGACTGGACTGCATGGGTGGGAGCAACGCAGGCACTGACAGGAAGCTTGGCAGCTCGAGCACCTCAGTGATTGGCAATTCCAGAGCGCCTCAGCGGTAATTTCACAGCGTGACAGCAGCTAGTTGTACCCCTGGCCCTTGGAGCCACAGTGGATGTGTGCCCCATACAGTGATGCATTTCGGCTTCGGGGGATCCATCAATGGTGCAAGTTCCTGAAGTTGCAGAGTTGCAACTTGCAAGAGTGGGAATCCTGGATTCATCATTGATCTCAAACAATCGAACCAGACGGGAGAAGAGATCCAAGAGAAGGTTTCTTGTGTTCCAGTTGTGTCATCAATTTCAACGAATTCCGAGTCAGTCAAGCAGTGCTGTCAACTTTGGCAGGTGAGGCACCTCAGGTGTCTGCAGTCGGGTGTGCTTGGAAGGAAACCGTTTCGATGGTTCTTTCCGCGTTATTTCTTCGCATTTCAACTGCCTACCACTACAACTTCATTTTGACAGCTTAGGTAAGACCTGCCTGTTACACACCAGGGTTGGAGGTCCCTTGGTTCAAGCTCTTGGTTTCTTCGAGAGCCTTTCCTTCTTTGTTTGCTTGTTCAGAACATCCACATCCACCAAGTTGCCGAATTACAGCTCAGCACTTGCCAGAAAGCGAAAGCTGTCACGAACGAACCATTCGAACCCTTTTTTATCCTTCTGGACCTCTTTCCCGCCCGGACCATCTCAGACGAGGAAGGGAAAGGACTAGGGCCAGGGCCATCTAATTAGACGATTGGACCAGCTAGCCTAGCCCAGCGATCTACCTCAGATTGGGCAGTGGAGGCTCGCAGGTAATTACGCCCAGGTACTTTGCTGGGGTATATCTGCCACGGTAATAGCATCCCACTCTCCCCGAAGAGGAACCCCAATCTTACTTGGCCCTTTCACCTAATCCTAATTCCCGACCATTGTCCGCCAACAACATCACTCATCCATCCATTGCATCCCCATCCCCATCCAGTTCAACAAAGTCGCGCCGGGTTTCACTCTTGCCATCTGTTCTCCATCGCGTAACCCAATACAGTACTATCAATCCCATGCAATCAATTGACCGAGTTGTGTGTGTATCCTAGGCGCCGTTTTAGAAGTAAGTGTCAAGACTCTTCTTGATGGAAACACCTGGACAAAAGAAAAGGAAGCAAACACGACCCCGTCGCTGTCGCTGTCGCTGTCGCTGTCACCAGTCACCACCTTGAGGAACACTGTGACGACTGGACTGGCCCCATGGAAACTTGGCTAACGTTTCTTCGGGCTCCCCCAGCTTTATCACGTCCCTAGCCCCTTATATTAGATCCAAAATTCACGACCGAATTAATTCCCAATTGCGACACCCACCCCCGTCGTCACCCTGTCTGCGCCGCGAGATTCCAGCTGCTCGTCCTCCGGGCCCATCTTCGGCCATCCTCCACCACAGCACCACCACCGCCTAGGTTCTCGCCTTTCTCTCCATAAACGGCGTAGCGCAGAAGAAGACGCTGGAATCATATCCGACCTGGACCTGGACCTAAACCTGGACAATCTGGCCCTGGATCACCACCATCACCTAAACCACCCGTCCGACGACAACAACAACACCATAGTACCCGAGACACTTCCGCCGGGTCTTGTCTGCTTCACTGCAGAAGTCAACGACTTCCGTCGCCCAACTACCACCATCGCTGTCGCCGATCCTGAGCCACCATCGGCCACTCGTTCTCCGCCACCTCAATACCCGGCGTCCGAGTCCTCTTCAGCCGGACGACCTCCGCCTTTCTCGTCGCTCTTTGCCAGTCCATCATCGGACCTCGAACTTGCCAATTCAGCATCCGTCTTTGAACCATTCGACGGCAAATACGCCGCCGTTTCCGTCACCGATTTCGATAATAACGACGTTGTTGTCGACGACCAAAACGATTTAAACGAAGTCGCATCATCGCAACCATCTGCCGCCCCAGCCTACGCGCCGTCCGATCCCTTTGTTGTACATCCGTCAGAAGCAGTAGGAAGCAGTAGTAGCGCTTTCGTCGCCGCGCCTTCATCAGCATCGTCCCCAGGATTTCAGTTCCAGGACGAAACCAAGGAGGATACCAAGGGCGAGTCATCTCGCAACAAGGAGGAAGAAGCAGAGCCGCCACCGGCATATTCGGAGGGATCCAGTCCCCTCCTCTCTTTCACATATCTAATGGCTGCCGCGGGAGGAGCGTCGAGTATCATTACTCAGGTCCAGCAGGGTGGACCGCCTATTAATACCCTTGGAGGTGAGTTGGGTTGCTCTAGATGAAATGAGGTCAATTGGGGGAACTGTTGGCATAGAATAGAGGTTAACAATGTGGTTTGTTGAATAGATGTCGGCGCCGATGAGACGATTACTATGGACCTGCGGTAAGAATTCCCTGTGGAAATGTGGTATTGGGAATGTTTACTGATTGATTTAACAGGGGAACGCGGTTCACACTATCACGGGACGAGTTGCTAACGTTACCCGAGTTCGTCCTTTTGTCCCTCTTTCCCAATGGACTCTTCCCCGAAGGACACATGGGTGGCTTTGGCGAGGGTGATGCCGTACAAGTTGACGTAAGTTTGCGCGCTCACCAATTATTTACTAAGCTCATTGCTAACACCCCATCGACAGTACGACCCAGCATCCCTACAATATATGCTGGAATTCTTCCGCACAGTAGCCCAGTCTATCCCCCGTAGACCCTTCCAACCCTCAAGACGGCAGTGACGGCATAGTACCCCTTGACCCGACGTCTGGCACAAGAGGTGATGACGGTTCTAAGCGTGCCGGCATCATTGTGCTGCGTGAGGACCTGGACTTCTATGCCATCCCCCCTAGCGCCGACATTGGCCAGGCCGAGATGATGGAGATCAAGCGTGCGGCTGCTCGGGCGCTGCTCAAGCAGGACGGCATTTTCAGCGGGCTGAAGAAGAGTGATGAGCCGGGCACGACCGAGGCGCATCTGATTGAGATGTTGACTGCTGGGTAAGCTTTTCTCATTTTCTTCGTTACGTCAATACGATACTAACAGTCTTAAAGCGGCTTCAACCACGACGACCGCTGGGGCCACCGTGCCGGTGAGCCCAACAAGGCCGTCATCTGCTCCCTCGCCCTCGCCCGTCTGCGTTCCGATATTAAGGGCAACGAAATGGGCAGCAATGCCGTGGGCATGGCCCAGAAGCTTTTGCTCTTCTGGCGCAAGCCTGCTCGCAGGTGCTGGTGGGAGGGCGTTGAGCTTGAGGGTGTCGAAGGCCTCGAGCCTGGCACGAAGCTCAAGGTGTGGATCCGCAGGGTATGGACTCTGGAGATGAGCGTGATTGGACTGCGTTAGGTACTCGGCAGTCTTGAGCTCACCCAAGGTCACTATATTCAGGCGGGAGTGGATGGAGTCGGTGGACTCGACGGTGTTAAAGAGGAAGAGGAGCACGAGGAGTCAATGGTGGAGCATGTTGAGATCATCGAGGGTTTGGAAGAGCTTGTAGTTTCGGAGCAAGAAGAATAAGGAGTAAGAGTAGGAGTGAAGGGCTTGCCAGGCGGGGGATTTTCGTTGTGCCTGGTTGGCTGGTTGGTTCTTTTTCAAGAAATATGACGGATTGGTGTGATTGGTGTTGGAAGCAAGAAAGGGAAGGGAAACGAAGGGAAGAAAGGGAAGGAAAGCAGCTCGTTCAGTTTGATATACCACTTGGGCTTTTTTTTTGTGTGTTCATTCTATTGTTAGTTCTGTTGTTACCGTAGAAGAAGAGTTGAAGAGTTGAAGGTTAAGGAACATGAATAAGAACAAGAGGAAAAGGCGAAAGTGTTATGGCGCGTGTCTCCATCTTCAAGAACTGGCATGGACTCGAGGTTTCTTCATTATTATGACCTTTAAGCGCATATTGTTCACTAGGAGTTGTTCTTCTTGCCGAGGGGATCACAGAAGGTGTGTAACACTTGAGTGTCTGTGAGTACTGGTTACCTGGTACTTATTTTTCTCACTTCCTATCACGTCTTCACTCCCATCCTCCACCGTTACCCCTCTCATATCTTGTTCCATCTTTACAACGCTAACAATCATCAGCTTCTTTATCTACCGCCTAGGTCCTTTTGCAAGCCCGTGCCAATTCTTACATTCATACCTACCAGGACCCTCCAACGGCTAAGAGAAGGAACAGGGACCTTTCTTCCATCCCTTTCCCCATTGCCATCCTCAACCATCACTTATGGTACCTATCCTACCGTACACAGGCCAACCACCCGTCTCAAGCCCCTTCCCAGGAAGATGCGAGGATACTACATCTACCAAAGATTCAATCCAGATGGCAAACATCCTCCTTTCGAGACTCGACTGGACCAGTCTTTGGATACCCTATAATGGTAAGGTTGTCAACCCCTGCAAAACCACACCTCCCACACCTACCACACCTACCACCGCACCTATCTCCCACACCTATTTGCCTTTCCACACCTTTTCCCTCCCTGGGACAAACCCACCGGTTCACCGGTTCGTCGGTTTTCGGTTATCATCTCACTGGGTACCAACTGTTGGCGACCTTGAAATCAAAGGGCAACGGGCATTATCTATATACACGCTGCGTCCATTACATCCGGTTCTCTTCTCGTTGGAGGTACAACTAAGTACATAGGTACTAGGTTTACTTTGTCCCAACACCCACCACCTAGATTTCACATCCTGCTATTCTTTCTCCCCGCCCATATCCCATGGTAGTAGCTAGCTGGATAGTTGTTGGGATTTTTTAAAAAGTTTTGGGGTGTTTTTCCGACGTTTGCAAAGCATCATTCATTGGCTTTCTTTTCCTCAGGTGACGAAAGAAACCTTGACTCTGTTCCAGTCACCAGCTTGGATTTATTTCTATTGTGTCTAGACTAGTGAACTTATCTCATCGTTAGGTTACTGGTGCTGTTTCTCTTTTTCTTCGTTTTTTCTTTTCTGGCTCTTTAGTGTATGTTGGTAATTGAAGAGGTACGTGATGCTCAACCAACCTGGTGAATAAGAATCTGCTGCAGTACCTAGGTATGGAGGTGTGGTGTAGGGTAGAGGTGGGCTTTGGGCTTTCTGGTCTTGGGACACACTCTTTGTTTGTCGTTTTCTCTTCCATTATTCCTTCTCTTGTTGTCATACATGTCATTCCCATCACTGACGTATGACAGTAGGTAGTCGGTAATTCCGAATCTAAAAATCAGAGCGACGAGGTTAAGCTCATGTCGTGGTACACCAGTCCGACCCAGCACGCCCTACCATGTCACCCATTCATCCTTCCGTCTTCCATCCTTTTGAGCCCTTGTAGCAGGACATACATGTCACTTTCTCGGATCTGGAACCCTGAGGTTCTTTTCTGGTTTTGTTCATTTTTTACCCATTCTGTACCTTGAGTGCCCACCTTTCGCCATGTTTTTGGCTCCCAGATATGGATCGTGGTGTGACACACCATTACGTGAAGTGCTGGAAGATCCATCACCAACAGCCCGTGTCGGTCTACAAAGTGGTGGTAGGTAAGGATGTTGACATGCAGACGCTCCGGACACTGTACACTATAACTGTTTGTACACTTTGATCTCACAGTTGCTGGTTGCCCGCGTCTGGGATCGATGATCGATCCCCTGTCGCAACAAGGTACATTCTTCTCCCGTCTTTTTGATACCATATCCCGCGGTTGGTGCGCAGGTCCCTGAAGACTTGCGATTCTTTCATCAAATACTGTTCATAAAACATCCTCCTCCATCACCTACACTACATAAGTCAGCGGCAGGTTGGTGATGCTCTCTCTATGTATAATAACGATTCGACTGCCACGCGCCAACAAGCCGGTCATTTCTTTCTTTCTTTCTTTCTTTCTTCCTCCTTGAAGGGAGACAGAGGTCATGGCTTGAGTTTGTAAACCTCATCAGATGCCGAAACTTCGAGCCTTCAGGAAGCGGGAAGGTACCTCAACTACATCACCAACTCAACCTTTTCTTTATCATCGAGTCTACATGACTGGACATCATGATTGTCCTACGCCATGAGCGGCTTCAGGCTCTTCCGCAAAAACAGACTGGATGCTTACCAACAACCTCATCCGCGCCCCTTCTCCTTTGATCATGAAGTCCTGAACGCAAGGATACCAACCGTCGTCCATCATCCAAGAATCACCGGCTCGTTGGTGATATCCCCTCCATTGATTTGGCCACCGCGCGGAGACTCACCATGTTGGAGGTTTCTTTATTCTCATCTCTGGGCTACGTAGTGGACTCTCTTCACGGTATAATGCCTCTCGAGTACAAAATGCTCAGAGGTCTCTCGTCTGGAAAGCTGGATCTTGAGAAGGAGCAGACACATCCAGATACGAAACTTCTCAATAGCCGGTCTATTCTACTGACGCCCACAATCAGCTGAAAACTGTAAGTATCATCGCGCGTTCAGAAGGGCAGTCTGGTTGAAGGAAATCAATGCTTACCAATTCATCTTCCGTCTCAGCTTCCAGTCATCCATTCCATCTGACAACCTACCCAAAACCCCAACAACCCCACGAACAAACTCACCACATCCACGTCCAGATCCACGCCACAATGTGCCACCACGTCATCCACAAGGACGTCATGGTTCGATACGACTGGACCCCTCCCGAGGCAAAGTATTCCGAAGCCGGAATCAAGTGCGGCCACATGGTCGCCCTCAAACAAACCGAAGTCTGGTCCTTGGGTCCCGACTTCTGCGAGTGCACCGAGGAGGTCGACCACCACCTTCCGCCGGGGTCGAACCCGCAAAATGAGCCCAAAACCCTCAACGAACGCGCTGAGCCCGGCTCGGGAATCGACACTTTGCTGGCGGCTGTGAGTAACATGCAGATTCCGTGTCCGGCATGCAGGCTGGAGGAGTGGGCAAGAGATAGCTTCAAGGGGAAGCTGCTCCACGTTAGGTAAGGTAGCTAATGAATGGGGTGCTCGGTGCCGGTGGTTCCTGCCTGCCTTGCAATGGCTCACTTAGTATGGTGAGGGGCGGGTACATATACGGCGAGTGGTAGGATCGAGGCTTTTGCGAGGTTTCCATTACTTTGACCTTTCTTTCCTTTGTTTGGATGGGAATGGAAGTGGAAATGGACGACTAAGACGCTGGACGGTAGCCTCATCTGAAGCTGGAATATGAACAGTTGCAAGCAACGACATGGACAGTGCGAGAGGATTGAGGGCATCGGATGAGAATTGGATCTGGATTTCTGATGTTCTTTCGTTCACCCAGGAGGATACTACCCCCAATGCCTACCAGTTGGCCGTATCGGGCTGATAAGCAGGAGTGTCTGATGTCGGGGACTTATGCCGCTTCGGCTTTTAGGGGGTAAATGAGAAACCTGGAAAGATACGGTATCCCTGGAAGAGAGTACCTAAGCGACGATACACTCGTTATTTGTTTGTTCGATAGGTTGCTACGTACCAGTTCTCTCTTGGGACTGGTTAAGTTATACACGCTCTGTCCTGCTTGATTAGGTATTTAGGTCATAGTTACACTGTGGAAATTCAACGGTAGATGTATTCAAAGTTAAATGTCCGCGAAGGTGAAATTCCCCGTCTGTCTGTCTGTCTGTTGTTGTAGGAAAGAGATGAAGCCTACAGGGAGAGGAATCGCGACGTGGTAGATGGCATGAATTAAAAATAGCAGGAAAAAAAAACCCAAACCCCCCCTTCCCCCCAAAAAAAACCCAAAAAAAAAACCCCCGCCGCAACTTGTAATCCGGTTATCAAGCCAGCAGAGGCTCCAGTCCAGATCCGAATAGAATCCCCTATGTATATGTGTGTAACCCAGTGAAAAACATCGTTGCGGTCCCCGAGATCAAACCATGGTGATCAGCTTGTGCCCGTCTGCCGCAGAGAGAAGACCAGAGATCCAGTCGTCCTGTTCTCTCTGGGACCGCTCCCATGAATTATATCGGAAATAACCTAGTCTTTCATACCTTCCGGTTTTGTCGCTTGCTAACCCCAGTACTAGGAAGCAACAACTCGTAATTCTGTGTCCGGGTCCCTCTGTACTGACGCTCTTCTCGTATCCGACCAAGAACAGATACACAACAGGTCGGCACTGTATTATAGGCGGTGGGCACTCAATGTCTTGTGGAGTTATGGACGAGGGTCGACGAAGCCGACGAACAGATATCTCCAGGTTCCCGTGTTCGTTTGTTGCTTTGAACCCTTCTAACCATGTGTCTTCTTGAAAATGGCTTCTCCAAGATATTCGGTCCAGACAGAATATCTTTGAAACCCATGTTCTTGAGGACCATCTGGGTTGTCAGCAAGAGCGGCTTTGAAAGTAAAACCGCGGAGTTTGATCCAGCCGTTGCTCAGCCGACCCAGAGGATCTTTTCCATCTATGATGGAACCAATGTCTTCGATGACAGCACGAGGAACCCATTCATCTGTCGGGGACATAAGATCCAAACCAAAAACGACATCAGAGGAAGCAGACGGCCAAGAGAAACTTGGTGCGATGTACTGCTCTGAAGCATATCCCACGTTCCGTCCTACACAATCCCACAGCAAGTCCCACAAAAGATGTTTTACCCACATGCCTGCGAAGTATGGCGACTGTATGACCTCTTGGAAAATCTTTGCCAGACCAGAGATGGCTGGCAGCTTGTCACGGGAATCGGTAAGTTCGCGGGCAGTATAGTGGACAACAATATGGTGCCACTGCTGTTTATGTGCGGTGGAGGCAGTTATTGAGAAAATAGGAGGGCCAACCAGTAGATCCACGCTGTAGCCACTTGATAGCACCTGATCTGAAGAGCACTGGTAAGTGTTCTTGTTTTGACAAACCCAATGGAGCTCATAAGCCTCGTAAATGAGTAGCCTTCTCGAGAGCTCCTGTTCCTGCAACACCCAACCACGAAGTGTCCAGGGTAGCTTGTGAGCGAAGTCACCTTTGTCATTGAAGAATTCTGTAGCTTCTACCAGTCGAGCGCCTAACATAGTCGAGCATCCATCGCGGTTGAGCCAATCCTCGTGATATGGTTCCCTGTACCAAGGGTTTGTTGCCCGGTAATTACGAGATAGAAACCCCTCAGAAACGTCAGAGGCGGTAGCGACGGCGATGGTAAGGTAGGCGTTACGGTATACCGAGGCCATCCTCGACGATTCAACTTCCCAGTCGCTTGGAGAATCTTGGATGATGCACAAGGCATCCACCCATAGGTATTGTTGGCCTAACGCTCGGGTGACGGCGATGGCATCTTGTAAAGTCTGCGGTAGACCGGAGACCATGAAACCTAACTTCATAAGCTCCAGGTTTTCGGACCTCAGCGTCACATTCTGACTTTTTCCCCAGCAGTAACTAAGGGCTATGTAGGCCGTCATGTGTCCTAAAGGAAGCGACCTTGTTTCGACAAGTACCACTTGCTGAGCGCCTTCATGTTGTACGTTTAACAGCCGCGTGGGCAGTTCTTGACCTGCGGCCTTGCATTCCGGATGACTGGCGTCGCAGTCCCCAAGACAGGAACGAATGAACTCAAAAGCCTCGGGTGTCTGAGGCGAGCTGTTCACACCGGCGTCAAGAGGATTGTTGTTTTGGGAAATACCGAGAAAAGCTGGCGGATAACCTGAATCATTTCGCGCCAGCTCCTTCTTCACACTCAAGGATAATCCATACGTACCCACAGGTGTGTATAGCTGCAGCTCCTGTCTCGCATGTTCCAGGCGACATGATCTTCTTGACCACCTTATGCCATAATTGTCTGAGACGGGGAAGTGATTGAGGGCTTCAGAAAAAAGGTGCAATAGTGGCAACCTAAGCTAGCTGACGTGGTAACATCAACCTTGCTAATATTTGGATTATCGGAGTGCAGATGGTTGCATGTCATGCAGTACTTTGTCAGGGTATATACGCATGATACGGTGACGGCCTTCAAGCTTTTCCGTAACTGACGAGCCCGTACTGAAATTGCGTCTCGGGAATACATTTAGCAAGTGCAATGAGGAAAATCAAAGGCCAGGAAATATGGCGGGATAAAAGGATAAGGAAAGGGACGGGGATAGAGAAACGCCTTAAGATGGGCGGGAGGTAACTGACCAGATGGCTGAACTCCAGAGGCTCTCTCCAGCGTCTCACATTCTCAAGTTCACCTCCACCTTGACTGGTCTCACACCCAATAAAAGAGATCCGACGCCATTGTAACCTCCCAGATCAGATAAAAGCTGGTTGTTGACTGGCGATGGAAGTCGTGGCGCTGCATGAGCTGCCAAGTCATCGGACACGGTGGCATTTGGGTTTTGTCAACGACGGATGAATGGACTACAGGTTTTGGGCGTAAGCTTGTGGTAATCGTGTGTCGCAAAGAAAGTGAGAGAAAGGGAGAAAAGGAAAAATATGTAGAAATAACTCATGATAAGGGAAATGAACACAGTCCGATTGTGCCATGTCCATCAAAAATCGAAAGTCGCGAACGTGAAAGCAACCTGCACCCGACCTTCCTCCGCATTGCATCATCACATCATCGTCCAAAACCGCAGGCACCACCAAGAACACATCACTACCACCCACCACCAACAACAACACAATACTTTCATGGTTGCGCACCAAAAAACAAAAGGTTCAATAAGACCAATAAAGAAGAGAAAACGGGGAGGAAAAAAAGAACCATGTTCAGGTCAAACAAATGCCCACAGCCAGAATCGAACTGACGACCTCATCATTACTAGTGATGCGCTCTACCACTGAGCCATGCGGGCAGGGTTTTTGATTTGTTGAGCTTCTGGGTTGGAACATTGGCTCAAGTAGTCAGTCTACCAAGGTGCCAGTCAGTCAAACGCAAAACACAAGGAGAAAGACAAGGGAAAGGGGGTTGGACTTCAGGTGATGAGGATATGGGTGACTGAATGTTGATGAAAATGGAATTAATGGAGAAAGAGGTTACTCAACAACGTGCTCCACTCTATATGTAGAAATGCTTCTGTAGCATATAAAACATGCTTAGAGATACTTCACGACTGTGCTTCAAAATGATGAATTTGCCCTGATTCTCGAGGACGTGACTTTGTGATCACTTCTTCTTTTCCCTGAAGCAAACACCTACACCATTCCGACAAACATAACGCCTAACAATGCTCATAACATCATCGACACCTCGAACTCTAAGCCTCGACTCTCGTATCTCACAAGCACAAAATTCACCGGCCTCAGATCCTCACCTCCCCATCCCAGGCCTCTGCAACCCCGGTCTCACCATTCCACTCCCACTCCCACTTACCCCATTCCCGTTTCCACCCCCACCATTACCCCCAGAGCCTCCAGCCCGATTGATACTCAGCGGCTTAAAAGGTTTCATCAGCCTCTCCATCGGTTTAATCCTACCTATACTACCCATACCCGCCCCTATCTCCCCTTCTGTTCCATTTAACCTCGCCAATCCCACCGGTTTCCTCACCACTTCCATTCCCGCTCCTCCTATTCCTCCTCCTCCCGCTATACCTCCTCCTGGCCCACGTGCCCGTTTACCAACATGACCACCCAACCCCGTTGGCAGAACATTATGACAAGTAGTTACATGTAAACTCCCTGCTGGACGGGTGGGGGTGGGTAGTTGTTCTTGTTCTTCGTCTTCTTCCCCTTCTTGTCCCTTTCGCCCTCCATCCCCTTTACGACTAGGGGGATCATCGGGCTCAGGCCTTGTAGGCGAGCTCGAAAAACAAACGTATTGCTTTTTGTAGTGGAGGGATGAGGCGGAGGAGGAGTCTTTGGATTTGGGTGGTTGTAGAGCAGGTGGACGCGTAACGGCTAGGTTCAAGCCGTGACTGCTTCCCAACTTATGAGAGGCTAGTTCGGGGGCTATACCTGGGGCTGTTCTTGCGCTTGTGCCTGTTCCTGGGGCGACGAAAGGGAGGGAGGGTTTGGATGGGTGGCTTTGGGCTCTGGAGAGACCTATGAAACATTTCTTGGGTGGTTGGTGGGGAGGGATGGGTTGCGGGATAGGCTTGATTGTGGGAGGCGGGGAGTTGGGGCTGAGGGACGGGTGCTGGTTGTGGTGGATGCAGATGTGATGGATGAACCGGTGCCGGTGGCAGGCTCGAAATTCGTCTTGACGAAACCGAGGATACTCTTTTGGTCTGCCGGTCGCTTGTTCGTACCTCGCTTTATGCCCGCTGAAGCTGAGGCCTTGCTGGCTCTGGCTTCCAGGGCGGCGGCAGCGCTGGCGTTGGCCGCGGCTGTGATGGCAGCTTGATGGACAGCGGCGTTCACGAAGCCGGGGAGGAAGCCATGGTGAAGGATGACGCTTGGTCCATTGTCGTAGCACGTGGTTTTGCCCATTGAGGTTCTTCGTGTCCGTCTCCTCCGGTCGATATCACAACTGGGTTGTAAAGCTTGGGACGTTTGAATCTCGACGAGTCAAAGCCCTGCCCATCTTCTTTGTAAGCCTTGTCTGGATCGACGGGAAACAAGTCATCCTCGGTATGGGACATGTTGGGTATCCCTGCAAAGATTTCCTTTTCGGATGGTAGTTCACGCTGGAGCACCTTTGCTATGTGGCGCATCAGTGATCGTTCGAAATTGGGACCCTTCTTCGCGAAAGAGCTGGCAACAGAAGAGACGAAAGAAGACAACTCTGTACGTGTGTCGCTGCTGCCGGGATTGTTGTAGACTGGATAGCTGAGGTACAGCAATGCTTGAGCTCGTGTCATGGCGACGTATAGCAATCTTCGCTCTTCATCGCCGTCTTCAGACCGCATATGCGGGATAGAGCCGTTGTACACAGCTGGTATGAAGACAATCGGCCACTCCAAGCCTTTGGCGGCGTGAATAGTTGATATGGTAACCATGGGCTTGCTCTCTTGGCCATCTTCCCCTTTCTGCGCATCGGAGGCTAGTGATACGTTGGCCAAGAACTGTGCCAGCACATCCTCCTCCTTTGACTGTTCAAGTCCTTCGATTTCTGGGAGAGCATCCTCCCCGGACCTGTCCAAGTCTCGCACAAAGTCATTGGCGAGACTGATCAACTCCTGTACGTTGGCCCATCGTTGCTCGTGGTCGTCAGGATATGTAACCTGAAGATAGTTTTGGAAGTTCAAGGCTGTTAGCAAATGGTCGATCAGATCGACCAGACCTAGCGATTTCCCCTCTGTAGCCTCTTCCATCTTCTTCCGTATCCCATTCAACATGCGAATCAGTTCACCACTAATTTTCTGTTCAGCATGCTTGGTGATCTTGGTCTTGGCAGTACGGTCTCCCCGGCAGTGCTTGACAAGAAGACTGTAGAGACTGAGAGATGACTTCTCGGCTTCTTCGATGAGGTTCTTGATTGTGCCATCGCCAATTCCTCGTTTGGGGACGTTCATGACCCTCCCAAATGCATCGTTGTTGTCTGGCTGATGGATAACTCGCAGATAATCGAGCACAGTCTTGATCTCTGCTCGCTCGTAGAACTTGAAACCGCCAACCATGCGGTAGGGGATCCCAGCTTTGCCGAGGGCACTTTCGACGTGTCTTGAAAGCGATGCTGAGCGCAGAAGAATAGCGACATCATTATAGGTCAACATTGTGCCCGACATATAAAGCGCACGGCGTATCTCGGATACAATCCACTCTGCTTCGGTGTGCGCATTCTTGAGTTTGCGCAAAACCGGACGAGAACCTCTGTCGTGAACCGGCTTCAACACCTTCTGGTATCTTTTCTTGTCCTGCTGAATCACCAGCAGCGATAGGTCAAGGATAGCTTGAAATGAGCGGTAGTTCTCTTCGAGGGAAATTTCGTCGGTTTTCGGGTAGTCGCGGAGCAATCGCCACAAGTTCTTGATCTCGGCCGAGCGCCATCCGTAAATACTCTGATCGGGGTCGCCGACAATTGTAATTCTCTGATGCTTTTGGGCTAGCAGTCGCATAAGCTCGTATTGCACGCCGTTCGTATCTTGGTATTCGTCGATTAAGACCGTCTGTATGTTAGAGACGCAAGAGGGGAACTTGCGAAGGAGCTCAACGCAGCGAACCAGCAGATCGTCGTAGTCTAGCAAGTTTGACCTCTTCAAGTGACTCTGGTATTCCTGGTAGCACACCTCAAGATCCCGTTGACCTTGTTGTGTCGGTTGTTTCTTCGAAGGCTGAGGCGCAGACGAAGGACTCGGTTCCATTCCTTTTGCCTTCTTCTTGCTAATCCACGCCTTTGCCATGGGCGGATCCAGCCCCAGTTGCAGTCTCTTGCATATCCTGGTAATGATGGCTCTCGAGTCGTTGTCGTCGGCAATGTTGAACTTTTCGCTGAGTCCGATATGACGGCCGTATGCGGCAAGGTAGCGTCGAGCAATACTGTGGAATGTTCCCAGGATAATCTTCTTTTCGCGACCATTTCCGAGAGCTTTTCCGATTCGCTCCTTCATTTCTCGGGCAGCCTTGACGGTGAAGGTCGCGACGACGACATCTTGGGGTTGGTAGCCAACATGGTCGACCAGCCAGACAACTCGGGAGGTGAGAGTGTGTGTCTTTCCACTGCCTGGACCTGCTAGAATGGCTACGGTTGCGGCATCGGAGGTTACGGCGCGTCTCTGGGCATTGTTTAAGCTGTCGAGGATCGAGTGTTTTGGTGTTGTGGAGGGAGACATGGGAGCGAGGAAAGGACAGCAATTGCAACCACTATAAGGCTTCTAGGTTGAGCAAGTATTGTCAAGTGATTGGACCATTGGAGTCCAGCTCGCGGTATGCAAAGCCGAGCAAGTTGTTGTGCCTGTACAGAATGCAGTTTGTTGTCGTTGATTGTCAATTCGCGGACCGAGAACCGGCACGCCGTCAAGGTGCACGGCTCCACTGTCACTGCACGAAAACATGTGACTTGTGCGAAGTGCTCTGGTGAGCGCATCTTACAAATAACCCTAACCCTCACACTGCTGCCCCCGCCCACTGTTTTCAATCTGCCAAGTAATGGAGACATCTTCAATTCCAAATTCCACACAATCAATCAACTTCCACACTCTGCCATGATCAACAGGTTCAACTCTTTGCGCGAGCGACCGTCCACAAAACCTCTCACGCCATCACATCCTTATCAATTGACCAACGCAAAGAACCCATCATCATCATCATGTTGTCCTTCAAACCCCTCAATTGCCCAGGACCCAATGACGATCAGCATGGATAAAGCAGACCTTGTCTGGTGCCGAACCGTTGCATTGCATCCCAACATCTGATATCAGCCCTCTTTTAATCTCGCAGCACGATCGCGAAAGTTCAATCCCTCAACTCAGACCCGAATTGTATCTCAACCACGAAGGACGCAAGTAAAGATTCCATTTCACCGAGCATCATGGCCCAAGGGGCGAGCTAGAGTCAGGGGCATACCTCAGCATGAACTCTAGCTTCACGGCTTTGCTCTTTGAAAGCGACCCGGGCGTCTAATGTTTCCAAGCTCAATGGACATCACCATCCGTGATATAGCTGACAGGATCCTGCTATTGATCAGTATTAAGCCCGAACTCTAGTGCCAAAGTCAACCAACAAATGGCATTGGCAAATGCGGCTGACGTGAAATGGTGATCTTCCTTTGGGGCCATCACCGTCAATCACCTGCTGCTGTGTGATTGATGGTCAACAAAGTGACTGCTCAGCATGGTGGATAGAGAGAGCTCTTTATCAAAGAACCATCGGCTTCTCTTTTGACTAGTGGTGTCGTGACTTTTATCACATGTGCCCATCACCAGGAGCAACTGCCGTCACTGGTAACCATCACGAGTTCTGGACCCATCGCGGCGGCAACGAGGCTCGAACGCTGCAAGGTACGCCATCATCGTTGGAGGAGGACATGTCAAGGCTAGCAGGCTTACCATGCACGAGTCACATTCCTGGGAAAAGGCGGTGGGTTTGGACAAAGTTTATTTTCGAAAAAAGAGCCTCTCCTTCCAAACATTGAGGCGAGCCTGGGGGTCCAGGGACAAGACATATCAAACCCGAAAAAACAGAGAGGCCAAGGACGAGACGCGGGAGCGGCACCAATCGCCAGGGGTCAACAACGGGTGGAGGCGGGGATAGACGACCTCGACGGCGTGGTCACCATGTGCCAGCCAATCGCGTACAGTCCTTTGCCGCTCGCCCTCCGGTGCTATCAAGTCCATCCGACCAATCACCTCTCATACAAGCGTAGCATCACCTCTTGTGCTCACCAAGACCCCAATCAACACCACCGATTTTCTCACTCTTTTGGCCTCCATCCAAAGCTATTTTTGAAGGTCATCATGCGGGAACCACGAGTGAGAATGCAAGTGGTAGACGTGCCTGAATTGCTAGTGGCCAATCCGCTCCCAAATTCCCCAAAGAGCTCGTCTACTCGACACATGCTTCACAACCCTTCCAACCTGAAGTGTATCAACAGCCGCTACCACAGTATATACCCAGACGTTTGCCTCGACGCCCCTCCTCCCGTTGACCTCCTGTTCATGCGGATGCTGTGCTGGTCCATATCACATTGCGTTTCACTTTAGCGGATACTCTGCCTGAGGGATCGACAAGTTCCTAAAGACAAGGTGACGGCAAACAAAAAGGAACTATTACTCCCCGGTATCCGGCCTCACATCATCATGCCCCCTGGTATCAGAACTTCCATCACCAGAAATACCATCAAGTATAACCCCTCGGCCTGGGTCTTGTCACTCCTGACCACCTCACTCGTTCAACTCTGCCTTGCAGCACCATCACCAGTCAACGGCCAACCTGACTTGTCTCCGAGAGGCAACAACAATCCTTTGAATATCGATTGGGATCCTGCTCCGGCACCAGAAGACGGACCCCCATTGTCACGAGGCGCTCTCCGTGACCCGGCGTATCTCCCAGCACAGATTGGCGGCATTGTTGGTTCATACGCGGTATCGTTGGTCATTGTCGCCATCCTTCTTCTTGTGCTTTCCAAGGGACGGCGTCAAGCCTTGATCAACGCGGATCTCCCAGAAGAAGACAAGTACCTCGAGTTCAACCCTCTTCCGGCATACCTTCAGCAAACCGAGGAGGAGTTCAAACAAACACTTGCTCAGTTCCACGGACACGAACAAGGAGAGCAGTTTCATCAGCAGCAGCAACTTGAAGAGGAAGGACAAGTACCACCACCACTTCCTACGCTTCAGATCCCACAGAGCCCATACAGGAACTGGGGATTCGGACAATCACCACTTAGCGCAAGCAGGTCGCAACACTCAATCATCTCTGCCGGTTCACCAACCTCAACAGTTCTCGCAGCCGGCTACGACCTTTCAGTTGACCAGACGGTGATCCGCCACGACAGAGCCATGGCGCAACAACAGCTAGAAGAGATGTACAAGCATGTGATGGAGCAGGAGGAGGCAAAGGCAGAAGGGAGGCAGTACATACCACCGCACCTACCACGGCCCTCGGTGTCATTTGCTTCCCAACAGCAACATCAACATCAACAAGCCCCAGCAACACCAGGAACCATCCGCAAGAACAAGCCCTCCAACCTCAACCTCTCCCAGGAAAAGGAAGAGAAGCAATCCCGCGGTTCCTCGTTGCTCAACTTCCTCAAGTCTCCCAAGAAGAACAAGGCGCCCCAAGGCCTCTCTATCTCCTCGCCCATCATGACCCCCATGTCCGGCACTTTCCCTCGCGGCTACCACCCGGACGTCGACGGGCAAGAGATGAACGCCATCCCCCCCCGTAACTACGCTCCCGCCAAGCCACCCCCCATTCCCTCAGATGTTTTGCCCTTCCGTCGCCAAAACAGCGCTGGTCAAGCTCAATACCCCACCCCCGACATCTCCCCCATAAGCACTCAATCCATCGACCAACGGATCGACGTCGCTTTGCACCGTCCTCCCACCCGCGGCGAACGCCAGGGAGCTCGCTCCGGCGAGCGTCTTCCTTCTCACGTCCGCGACACCTCAGCCGCCTCCAACGCTTCTTCCCTAACAGGCGACGCCTACCTCGCCGACCCGCCCTCCGCCGTCTCCGAGCGATCCACCTCCGGCCTCGTCTCCGGTTCGGGAACAGTCGGCCTCCCCTCCTCTCCCCGTCCCGGCGTCAACCGTTTCCCCTCGCTAGACTCAACCCGCACCCTCCCCTCTTCTCCCAAACCCGGCGCCTCCTTCTCCTCTTCCCGCTCCGGCGCCTCCTCCCTGCGCGCCAACGCCCCTGCGCCCCTCGGTTCCCTTAACGGAAACAACGCCTCATCATCAGCAGTCCGCGCCGGCGGCGCCTTGCCTCTTCGCGCATACGAACCGTCCCTCGCTAGTCCGACCAGCGGGTCGCAGACAACCAAGCAAACTGTGTTCACGAGACAGGTTAATGGGCCCTTGAGTCCGGGGATGAGCACAGCGGGCTTAAGGACCCCTTGGACTGGCGCGCCCGTGCCGTATAGTCCTTATCAACCGTTTAGTCCGGTTGTGCCGATTACGCCGAGCTTGGTCACTAAGGCGGATAGGAAGCGGATGAGGAAGTTTGAACCGAAGACGCCGACTGTGGAGATGGTTAGGAGTGAGGATGATATTTGGTAGATATGTTTGTAGGGTAAGGTGGGAAATGGGATTGGGATAAAAGATTGCATGAATTGGTAGGGTTCTTTGAAAAAGGGCTGGATGGGTGGTAGCATTGGATGGATGATGGGATGGAAACATGGTTGGTCATCGACGATGAATGACGGTGACGGTGATGATAAAGCAGGATCTTCTTTTACCTTTCTCTTTTCATTCTCTCTTCTTCTTTTGGTTCTGTACATACGCATACCGTTATACCATTTGCTCGTGTTGTTTCCTTAACGGAAAGTTAATTTGATACCTCGGTTTACACCTTACCTACAATTTCCTTCCATGTCTGCTGTGATGTCCCGTCGTCATATATATGGTGGTGAGTGCTTACTGCCGTGGTCAATGTCATCTGAAAGGCAGATAGGTAGGTCATCCATTGCACTGGAAACGGAGGACCTGAGTGACGACAGTTGGTTGGTTGGTTGGCTGAGAATCGGAGACCTGTTGGTGGGTTAGTTGGGATTTCATCGGCTTAGACTTATGGGCGGAGCAGCATCATCAGGTCCAGGTGCGCTGCCGCTACCTAGGCTGCACACTGTTACCCCGACAAGTACCGGTATAGGTTCTTGTGGAAGGTGCAACCCGCCAATCCCTCCTTGATTTCCGCCTGCATATGAACCTCAGTATTTAAAGTGAAGAGACCTGCCTCGCTCTTTCCTCTTGACATCAACTTAAGTGGAAGTGAAAGGCACTACCATTGAATCATTAAGTTTCCGGTCATTTTGCTCCCCATCGTCTCAGATCAGAGCTGCTCGCGCATCGTCTCAGCAACTGTTGCCATGCCATGCCCTCTTCCGTCTGGAGGCCTTTCTCCGAGTGATCCCATTCCAGCAGGTAGGTACAACCGACACGAGCTGGGGGATGGGGAGCGGACGTTGAGAGTCCCAACGAGTACCTACCTACCTACTTTCCCATATTTCAGACAGATCTGGGGTATTATCCCTCCCTCTTTACTCTTCAAGCTTCGATCATTTCTAACGTCCTCAACTTGATTAGTTCCCCCTGCCTTTGTTTCATGCAGTACCGAGACTCTATCTGCAGCCTGATAAACCCGTGGGTAGGGTGTAATCGTCAAATCGTGTAAGGCTGGCTAGACTATACCCGGACACTCTCTTGCATTGCTGGCATGCGGCTGTTTCTCTCTTTCAGGAAACCATCACTAACCACGCGGGCACTTCCATCTACTCTAGGTTCCAATCATTCACTTCCACTTGAGACTGCTCCCCGTCATCTCGAAGTGGAAGGCGCAACCAACCCTCTTGGATTTCCGTCTGCTCGCTGAGCTGACAAAACAGCCAAGAGTCACGGACAAGCACCGCATACGACTGACGAATGCACTGGATATTACTAAAAACCCAAGAAGTTCAAGAACAATGCCGAAGTTACCTAATCCATATCGAGCACTCGTCAGGCTAGCCCGCAGCGGAGCTGGAGGTCCGGGCCGCCCCCCAGTCTTCGGCTGGGGAAGTTCGGAGATTCTTAATCCAGCTTCTTTTTGCCAGAATTTAATTCCTTCTATCCAGCCTGGGGCCGTTGATCGGTAATTAGGTATAGAATCGATCGGTAATGCATTGATTGATAAGATTGATAAAGATTGATAAAGCATCCAGTCGTCCATCCTGCATACACAGGAAGCAAAGCCGTGAGGAGACGAACTGGTGCGATCACGATGCTACATCGAGAAAGGAAAAGAAACATGTGAACGTACCGCACTATCTCGGGGCATTGAGTTTCGATAACCCTCCGGATTCCCTCTTTAAATTGAAGTCGAATAGAGAGGGAAGTCAGGTTGGCAAACATGCATGCAAATCCTACATATGCATAGATGTGAGTCGTCCCAGTTTATATTTTGGGCGTTCCTTCCCGGATGCACATGATCGAGCGCCTTGCTTCTCAATAGCGGCGACTTCCCAGACAATGAAGTGAGCTGCTGGCAAACAACTTTTCTACAGTGAGTTCCGCGGAACGAGAGACAAATCTCAATCACGTTTCTAGTAAGAGAATTCTGACATGATGGTTTTGAGCACGCTGATTCCGAACTTTCAATCAGATTCTTTTTATCTCCCCATTTGGTGGAGATATGAGCAAGTGATGTTCGTCTTTCTTGTTCCTTTCTTCTCGAATTGTGGCCAACTTCGGACTGTTGCCGATCGGCTGGCTCTACTTCGATGAGAGCAGACTCTTCAAACTGCCGCCTGAGATATGGCGTTTTGTCACATCTTTCCTGCTCAGCTCTCCGCAGCTGGGCATCATATTGGATCCGTACTCCAGGAAAGTTGCAGCGACTGCAGCCTGACCAGACACTTGAGCATGAACATGAGCATGAGCATGCAAAAGACGCATCGCATGGGATGAGTTTTGCTTTCCCAATCATCGTGGAGAAGACGAAGAAGAAGGAGAAGAAGAGGTTGGAGAAGAGCTTCAAAAGAAACGCGCAGGTTTTCATTAAAAGAACATCAACAGCCAGGACAGCCCCGGCCGTTGACGGGTGAACCTTGGCTCCAGGATGTATAAGTAAAATGCCAGGTACTTGTCCTAGTCCCTATGGTAGGATACCAGTACCAGTACCAGCCAGGAATTATGAAATGCCTGCAAAACATGATTTGGCGCTTTCTTCCAAAGAAGCATCATCGTTTGTGAGATTTCGCGGTATGTACTCGGTTTCCCGCTAGTCAGATGGTCGTTTTTGAAGACCCGACAGAGTATGGGAAGATGCGCCTAATGTTATGCATATGTAAGTACCAGGCGTGCTTTTTGCCTGAACTAGAATCTAAGGATTTGTGACTCCGCCTGGAGCGGGATGCATACACGCAGTCGACATCATCTTTGGTCGTTTTGTCCTCGGCTTTGAACAGAATCTTGTGTGCGATCTGTGGTCTTACTCAGGCTGGATTTTATAAAGTGCCTTAGGGATTGGGTTTCGGAAGAGACTCGAGGAAGTCTGCAATGCTGGAGATGTTTAAACGTGCTTTCAGGATGTGAGCAACTTGAGACGAACGGTCCACGTTTTTGTGGCATACCTACTTATGCAAATTTAGCTATGCATAACCATATCGTTTGACCTCGCACCATCCAACATAGCTGAGCCAAAGCGAGCCACAGGTGGTAGCTCATCGTGAGAACTAACGAGAGCCACAGCAGCAGCAACCAAAACGCCCTGCGGCTTAGAGCGTGGATGATGAAACTTGAGGTTGAAGATTTCAAAATGTTGAAGAACTCTTGATCATGAAATTTGGAAGCTGTGTTGAAGAAATCTTTGGTGGAGACATGGAGAGGGGTTTGCATACTTTAGCTCCAAGCTGAGAAGTGAAAGATGCAGACGCCGGGCCAAAAAGGGAGAAGAAATCTGACGTCTCGCGTGTACAAATGTCATTCAGCTCACAGCTTGTGTTTTTGCTGTCTGGTCTTGGATGTTGCTAGTTGGCTACCGGTTATTGGGTTGGAGAGCGAGTCGAGTCCCGGAACTGTCAACTTTATCCCCGGGGGCGATCTCGATGCTTGTATGACTGCAGCCCTGATCTTCTTTGGTCTCCGTGGACTCGAGGACAGACAGGCTTCGAGGAGGGTAGCGTTGGTTTACGCTTCTGATTTCATGAAGAAAATTGGACGGCGGCGCCATGTTGCGTGCGCTGCCGAGACAACTCGGCTTCAATGCCACGGAGTCGGGTCTTACATAGGTAGTGCAATTCCATATGCACTACACGTGGTTTTCGCCTGGAGTTACCAAAGAGAGCCCCTTGTGTCCCGAAATTGTGTTCATAGCAGCGGAGTCGCAATGGGTGTCGCACGAGACATTCAGGTTTTGTTGGCCGGTGGTCTACTCCTAGGATTTTGGTTATCGTTGGTTTTTTTTTTTTTTTTTTTGTCTTTGGTTTCCAGTTTGTTTGCCACTCTACCGGCGTACCCTCCATTTTAAGGTTTGCCCCTTTTGGACGGCCCGACCGGTCGGGGACGACGACGTGGGAGCCGGATGAGGGCGGAGACTGAGCGAGTCGAAAATTTTGAACGGGCTGAAGCAAGGTTCGACAAACCCGACCCAGGTTGAGCCCCTTTCTTGGTGTGTCGGTCATGTCGGTGCGAATGCGAGTTTTGGCGTTGGCGTGGGTCGAATATTTGGGATGACGGAAATCAGCCCTGCTATGTCCAGACATGCTAGCGAAAGCACGGTTACACTACACGGTGACGCGGTGCTCGGTAGATTTGATACCGCTCATAGCTTCAACAAACCCTGTCATGAAGTTTATTGTTTGCCTATTGAAATCCCCGAGATTTGAATCGAAGTCGTCTTAAGGAAAGCCGGGGTGTTTCTGTAATGCATGCTTGCTGTGTGCTGAAGAAATATGATCGATGGGATAGGTAGTATTCCGCATAGAGATCGTGCTCCGATATTAGATGGGAAAATGGCGGAATGGAATGGGATGGGATAGGGTGGCGGATGGGAAATCCAGGTTGCCGACAGCAGCTGGGTGTGATAATGATATATCGATAGATAGCTGCATCCCCATTTGCTTGGATAGAGTTTTGTGCCTCCATCACAGTGAGACACAGGTCGTGAAACCCTCAGCAGCTATGCACAATCATCTTTCCCTGAACATACCGTCTGCTGCGGACCGACAGCGTTGAAAAGCAGGAACCAGGAGAGAGAAGGAAGGAACCAGGAGGGGAAGATCGTCGCAAATCCTCAACCGCCGTCGCTCCGTCCCTCCCATCAACCCGACTCCCGACTCCCCTCTTTTTAAAAGAGTCATTTGCGCAACTAGGTTTGACCAATCCTCCAATTGACAGTTTTGCTCAGACCATCAACCCTAACCCGAGGTCCTGGGCGCCCCGACGAACAAACATGACTCTCCTATTGGCCGAACGGATTCCCATGGTTGATTGGAACCCAAGAAACAGTCGGATTATCGAGGTGTTTCTTGACCCAACATTGTCCTCTGACAGTTCAGCAGCTAGTCAAGAAGTCGATGCACTCTGAACTCAACAACAGGTAAAGTACATTTACATTGCGATTGATGCAAATCAAAACGTTAAGCTGAACCCTTTTCGGCTTTCTATCGATATCGACATGGGGTCTTTGAAGTGTTTTGGCTAACAGTGATTGGGTGCATGCCTTGTTTTTGGATCTCTTTTTCGGTGGAGACGCCTCTTGTGGAGACCCACTTCGTGACAGAAGGCCCTCCGTTGGTTGCACGTGTCGCCAATCTTGGCGCCCCCGTCCCCGGCTGCGTTGGAACCCTTTCGTGCCCGGGCGTTCCTCTTTCTCTGGTCCCTCGCTGGGAAGAGTCGGAAGACTGACAAGTGGAAGTGACAAGGCAAGTTCTGGGCGTAAATTGTGGGAATTCTAGCGGGTTACATAAGCCTGGCGCCCCCCCGAATTCCTGCACTTGGGCTCGGCTCCAGCCGTCAGTCCTTCCACGATCATCATACGATTCTGGCTTAAATCGTCCCACCCGTAACCCCATCGCCCTCCCACTCCCGAAACCACTTTCCCTCCGCGCATCAGCTCACCCACACAGTTCGACACTCTTTGCGGGAAGAGAGAGAGAGAGGGAGAGAGCGCGTAACAGAGACCAGCGACCGACTATCGACCGAAGAGCAGTCAATTCACAAGTCGACGCTATCGATTTCACTTTCGAAACCCCGAAACGAGGTCCAAGCTCCCTGACAGCCCAGCCTGACCTGACTGACTGCCTCCCGTCCCGGACCCGGCAACCATCCTTCCATCCATCCATCCACCCAGCCATCACCCCTTACCATTTCATCGCTTCGGCTTCATCATTGGCCCACTTCGTCAGAGGGAAGCCAAGAAACAGGGAAAAGGACGAAGTGTTTACAAGACTCGGAAACGAAACCAAAAAGTGACAGAGGAGGGAGAGAAGAAAAAAAAAAAAAGGCAGAGCTACCCCACCCTGTTTCGCGACTTGTTCTTCTCGACGAAAGGAGCGAGACTCGGGTTTGTCGAGTCGGGCCTTAAGAAACATCGAGGTTGCTTCGTGGTGTTTGAGTTGGAGTAAAAGAGTATAGTTTCTTTGTGTCGACTGACTTGCAGACCGACTGCCATCGTCCCAGTCGCAAGTGTGTAGTGCGACAAAAAAACGGTTATTGTTTTGTTTTTTGCTGCATACATCAACTTCGGGCATTGGAAGCAAGCAAGTTGGTTGCGGCTGCAGTGCGGATAACGGAGCGGACCAGCACACGCAAGGTCGCCCTTTCTTCTTTTCAACGCAGGGCGGTTCAAAAATACGCGGGAAATTGGATTTCAGTTGGGTTTGGTTTTTGTCTTCCAATCAGGGAATCTACGATCCCCAGTTCAGCTCTTGAAGCAGGAACAGGGAGACGCACTTTCCTGCTCACAGCATCGCAATCTTCAAACAATTGCAGGAAAGGGTGAAAACACAGTCGGGTATCGCCCAGGGCATCTATCGGCCCCTACCGGAAAAAAAAAAAGACAGCCCAGACGAGGCCTGGAGACGACCGAGCGCACACGCCAATCCGCTTTCATCAGTCCAGTACCTTACTACCTTGCGCCTTGCCAAACACACCACGCAAAGGACGGGAAGGGCTCGATTCACAGCCCGCCTGCATGCAACAGCCCATCACTGTACAATTCTGAACTGAGGGGTCCCGTCTCGCTCGGGGTACAGCAATCAGATCGATCCAGCATCAGCCACCATTAGTACCGAATACCAGCATCCGGCCGCACTGCTCGTCGAAATGGCCGATCCCGATGCTGACTCGCCCGGCCTGTTTCAAGCAGGTCTGGACAACTTCGACATCAGCACCCCGTTGCATCTGGGCGAGCCCACGCTCGCACACCACGGCTCCCTGAATGGTAACGTTAACGACGCCGTCACCACTCCTGATCCCACCTCCCAAAGAGGAACTTCCATCCCCGCCTCCCTGGCCGATACACCGAGAGCCTCAACCGGTGGGCCGACTCAGCACAACTCTCCCCCTATAGGCCACCACCAGCATCCCAATGCCTTCAACGGTAACGGTATCAGCCCTCAGGAGCAATACCAACAACAGCAACAACAACAACAACAACAGGCCTTCGACTTCAACCAGGACAACATCTCCAACTGGCCCGTTGACTCGCCTCCGTTTGATCCCGGCCCCGACTTCAACTTTGGCTCTGTGCCGCACGGGCTGAACATCGCTCAAAGCTGGGACCTCCCCGTCCACTTTGGCATCCCACAACAGGGACCGCAGCAAGAACAACAACAACAACAACAACAAGGCCAATTCTATCCCGACACGACCGGTGCTGGCATCGACCCCGGCATCTATGCTGCTGCCCTTTCCATTCCCTCGCCTCAGGGACAATCGGCCGAACCCATCTCCGTCCGCACCAACATCAACCCCAACATCCGTAACAAGTTGACTCCAGCCCAGCAAGAGAGGCTCAAGACCATCGCCATGCCACCACATCTCCAATACCACTCGCCCAAGAGCGCCGGCAGCCCCGACTCGAATGCCAGCATGGGCCACGATAAGGGCTCCATGTCATCACCAGACGGCCTCGGACCATTGAAGCTGAATAGCAGGAAACGCAAGTCTTCCGCCGAGGTCGACGAGGATGACGATGACGATGATATGGACGGACACCAGCCAGTAAAGAAGACGGCGCACAACATGATTGAGAAGAGGTACAGGACAAATCTGAATGACAAGATTGCGGCTTTGAGAGATAGCGTACCTGCTTTGAGGATAATGTCCAAGAGTGCTAGAGGAGAAGATACAACGGAAGACAGAGAGGAACTTCATGGATTGACTCCAGCCCACAAGCTCAATAAAGCTACGGTATGTAATCCCCTTACCCTCGCTTATGCACGCTCCCAGAGGCATGCTATTGACATGTGAGATGTTCAGGTTTTGAGCAAAGCGACCGAGTACATCAGGCACCTGGAAAAGCGAAACAACCGGTTGGTTGAGGAGAACAATAACATGCACGCGCGCATTGCCGCATTCGAGAAGCTATTCATGGCCGGTGCGATGACCGGCATGACTAACGCTATGCAAGCTCCGCCTACGCCAATTCAGTACCCTCAGGACGTCGCAGCGTTCATGAGCACCCCGATGCACACGCCCCGGGGTCCGGATCCTCCGGGGCTGATCCCGATACCGGACGACATGAAGCGCATCTTGTCGGCTCAACAAATGAACGCCGGACGGCCGTATGCAGTAGGCCCGCCGGCCATGCAGCCGGGATTTGTACCAAATCCGGGCGTCATTCGCAGACAACAAATACAACAGCAGCAGCAGCAACAACAGATGCAGGGGCGGTGGAATCCTTATCTCGGCAAGATGATGGTTGGTTCGCTGGCCGGACTGATGCTCGTCGAGGCTTTTACGGAGGACGAGACCAGCAACGAAACCACCGAGGGACGTGGTCTATACGCTCTGCCGCTGCGGCTTATCGGATCCTTCATTCGCTCGTCGCATCTCAGTGTCGGCGGTTATTACATCTCCGCCATTGAGATCATGGCCAAGCTCAAGCTTCTGCTGCTCGGTGCTCTCCTTGTCTGGACGATTTTCCCCGACAACTTTTTCGACGCGCCCAAGTCGGAGAAGCCAAAAGGCCCCACTTCTGCGGTGGAGGCCGTGCCCTCGCTCGCCTCGCCAATTCATGTCAGGAGACAAGCCTGGCTCACGGCGATTCAGACTGTTTGGGTACCACGACACAATTTTTTGCTTGAAGCTGCTGCATTGTTGCTCAAGACGCTCAAGTTCACTCTGCGCAATGTGTTTGGCGTACGGACGTATCTGTGGATGACGGGACTCAGCGAGGAACAAGAGGCTGCCCGTGTCAAGGCTTGGACCATTGCGTTGGATGCCCAGCTTGCTGGCGGTGACGTCGAGATCAATAGGAGCCGTCTCACCCTCACGCTGCTCGCTTCGGGCACCCTCCCTGAAACCCCTCTCCGTCTGATGCTCAAGGCACTTCATACTAGGATCTTGCTTTTGCAGTTTAGCGGCAAGTTCTCGCTTGCTAACCTTCCTGCAGCCAAGATTGCGCGGTCAAGATGGAATGAGGCCAGGCAGCTTAACCTCATCCTTCAGAGAATCTCTACTAATCCTGAAGATGCCCTTCCCGAGCACCTTGCCACTCTGCTGGAGCAGGACTGTGATGACGTTCTCAGCGATAGCATCGTCCAGAGAGCGCACAACCTCGCCTTCAACCGCCCTACGACTTTCAATCTGGTAGACCGAACCGACGGCATGAACATCGTCGTCGAAGACCCCGCCGTTCGTTCCCCCATGGACGCCGTTGCCGCCTGGTACTCTAGCTCCATCCTCCAGCGCGTCCTCCTCTCCAGCCTCGCCAAGGCCCAAGACGGCAACACCGAAGCCACCAAAGAAATCATTGATGAGATCGCCCTTGCCGTCAAGATTGCCCCCATTGGTTCCAACGCCTACCTGCGCGCTCTCGTTGCCCGTGCCGTCCTCGTCTCCGAGAAGCGTGGCGTTAGCATTGCCGCCGCCCTTAAGGCCTCAGACCCCTCGCTCAACCCTGACAAGCATCCTGAATACGGCCGCGGCGTACCCCCTCTCATCGATTCACCTATGGCTCAGATTGTCCCCGACCACGACGCCCTCATGGCACTCCAATACGCCATGCGCATTGCCCACCTCCAGAAGTCGGCCAACCCGCCCAAGCACGCGATCGAGTTCATCAACTCCATTCTTCCCGGTGGCACCGACCAGTCTAAGCACGAGGGCATGTCCCTTTTGGCGTGTACGGCGGCTTATCACCTGATGGAGTTGCTCGAGAGGCACGCGGTCTGCAAGGAGGAGTGCTCGGGCACTTTGGAGAGACTTGCTGGTGCTCTCAGGATCTGGGTCGGCAGCTCACAAGGCGAGAAGGTTGGCTTGGACGGCAAGATGAGGCAGAAGTTGATTGGCAGGTGTTTGTCGATTACCAAGTCGGTGATGGGCATGGAGAATGATCCCGGATATGGGAGCATGAGTGATTGTGAAGAGAGGGAGGAAAGGGGGTGTTAAGTTATCGTTTGGTCTTTTTGGTGACCCATGTTTTTGCGTGCGATTGATTTGAACTGTTCCCAACAAAGTTACTGGTTTATACCTGTCTCTCTTGACTGTTTGGGGTTATATGGTATATGGGTTGGTTTTCACTTTTGGCGTTTTGGCGGTTACCTTTATTTCTTACTCTCGTCTTCTTTTTAGCTCAAGTTTTAAACCACAACGAGAATACTCCGCGACTTTCTTCGCTTCTTCTTCATGTCAACTCAAATTGAGTTTTATTGCCATACCATTATATCACTCGCGTACGCGCTACTCCACTTCATCCCTTTGTCCATGTTTGCTGACGCTTTTGCGCCACGTTAAGGACGCCTATCACCGTACATGTTTTACATCTCCCAATTTCCTTTGTTTCTGCTGTGTTTTCATGCATTGCCCTACAAATCACGTATCAAGAAGAGGAGGAGGAGGAGGAAAAGGAGGAGTATCCCATTCACTGCCTATCTCACAAACCACGGACCACCCAATGGGGAGCATTTCACGACGAAATGTACGCCCCTGAGGGGATGCATGCTGACAAAAAAAAAAAAAAAAGAGTACGTTTTTTTGTTTTTTTTTTTTGGTTACAAAGGTTGTGAAAGGGTTGCGAAAAGTTTTGTTAGTAGCAAGCGCGGTTACTTTGTCAGTTCTAGACGAGAGAAGAGAGGAGAGGGGTGAGGCTCGGTTCTTCTGGTAACAAATAGGGATTCCGCGAGGAAGTCTGAGAAGGAGGGGGGAATTGGGGAGGGGGGGTGGGGAGGCACATGGAGTTATTCCTTTGTATCGGTGTTCTTAGTTAGAGATGGGGAAAGAGTCAAGAGGAGGAGGCAAAAGGGAGGAGGCAAAAGGGAGGAAAACTACTTGGGGTTATGGTGTTTAGGTTTTTCTCTTGAGAATGATATTTGAGATCAACAGTACTGACTGCGAAATAATCGGGTGAATGATCGTGAGTGAGTGTGAGTGAAACTTGAAATTTGAAACTTGATCCGGAATGAAAATGGAATGGGCTCGATGGGCAAGGGCGAAGCATCCATGCATGGGTTAGGTATGTGAGTCTGTGAAGATAGACCGGAAAGAGGAGCAGGACGGATGGACGCAACGATGCAACTGAACTGAGTGAGGTTTTGAGGCCCCTCTTGTGATGAAACAAAACGAAACTCGAAAACAAACAAAACGAAACACTTGAAACAAGATCGGAGAAAATAGTCCGAGATTATTGAAGAAATAGAGC